ATCCAATCAGGTCAATGGAAATTCGCTTAGTCTGCAGGTTTGCTGTGGCGGGGGTATTGGATAATAATCACACCGTAGATGTAATTGACAATAGCCTGGAAATCCTTCACATTTGTAACAAAGTTAACAAATTAGACTCTCTAGAACAATTCGAAATCTATAAAAGTTTCCAAGACATCCGTAATAAAAACCATATTTTAAATGACCAGCTAAACTTCAAATCTCATTCAATTTTTAACGCCATAATAGCTCACAACAATAGACAGGAACAGTTTGACCTTTGCAGTATGACTGATAACGGAGAAGGGGTCGGGGTTACGTAAGTAGGCCTACTAAGTGTTAAATGTTTCGCACAATGTATCGTGTTTTGTGTATCTATTTAAATGTTTTTTGACGAGTCTACAATGGACGAAACGTTCTTGAAGGACCACTTGACAATGCCTATGTATAGGCGAAACATGTAGTGGGTTTGACCATTCATTTATGAACTGTGGACGTGAAGGTATGTACCTTAAATCATAGTATAGAATACCTCTAACACACAATAAAAAACAATACAAATTACTTCAGAACGACAAAACATTTACTTATGCCTCATCCAATATTCAGGATATTTTGAGAACTGTTTTGTCTTCAATTCCTTAATCTGGTTCGACACCAAGTTAATATCTGACACCACGTTCCAAACCATCACCGACTCTTTATCACTCAAATCCAAATGTGTCTTGAGCGTATTGTTCTCAATCAGACGTTGTAGCAGGTTGATTCCCTCGTGTTGAAAATTAACAATGTCTTCCACAACGGCTTCCTTCGCTTCCTCAAGATCAGCTGCGATGTCGTCATGAAGTCGATGCAACATTTGGTTGTACTTCTTCAAATGTTGGAGGAAAGCAGTGTTGTTCAACCATCCAGGGTTTTCCACCTTGTTCACAATCAGTGTGTCGATGAACGCTAACAACTTAGTGATGTCCGCATAGCTGAATGCTATCAGTAAGAACACTAACCAGAGCTTCATTGCAAGTGATATCAGTAGATTTGACTGATTGTTGTTGCTGCCTGCAATGTCAGTAAACAATAATGTTTATATTAGTCGTATGTTTTGCTTTCATAGCAGTATTGTTATAGTGATTACAATACACATTTCAACACTTTGTTTTTAAGCGTTTTTTTTTTTTTAAAAGCAATTAGAGTAATCTGTTTCATTTCACGTACAATAAAAGTAATGTAAATACAATTTCCAGCATCTTAGAGCTATTAAAAATACATTTTCTATGTTTGAAGTTAGTTACTTTTCATGGTAAGTGGTTATGGAAGTTACAAATTAGATATGTGAACAAAACAAATTTTCATGTGTGTTAATGTTTTTATTGTCGAATCTATACCCACGATTTGGCAAAGCCCTTAACCCTTTGAGTCCAGGGAATACTCTCTAATTTTAACAATACCTTTTTTTATGTTGAATTTTAAGATCTTTTTAATAAAAAAATATATGGTATCTATAAAACAAGTTTTAGGTAGACACACAAAACAAGAAAACAAAAGTTGGCAAAACTTGACAGAGATATGCACTTCTTAAAGATTCTCCTGTGTTAATTTATACAAAAATTCACTGCTTTATTTGAGTATTTCCCATAAAAACATTGAAATTCAGCCGTAGGACTTACAAGTGGTGTATAAACCTGATCTACTTGTGATGAGAACTTCATCCTCCTGATTTGTCCTAGTTAGTCCAGGGTTTGTGTTCAACCTGTGCAACGTTTGTTTCCCAGGCAAGGAGACATCCCCTTAACCGCTCGGCTGTTGAGACAGTGCAATGGTACTTGCCTGCCTATCGATATATACAAAACAACACTAGAATACCTTCAGGCCAAGTATAGTTCTTAACTTCCTCCTCTCTCCGAGTCCCAATGCAGTATATGTGAAACACTGTTTCTGGCATTTGCGTTAAGTTGTGCATTTTAGAGAGAGCTTATTTTACAATCTTAAAAATTGAATTGGCGTCAAATTACAAATAGATTACAATATGAATACTAGTATTTTAGACTTCTACAGGGCACTTTAGTTTGGGTATTCTTCCACAGATCTCTTCCTTTGAGTGGTAAGAGGTTTGTTGAAAAATAAGTATAGGTTAAAAATTTACAAACAGCTGAGTGGAGCGAAGTGGCTAAATTTAATCCATACCATCAAGTGTATCCTGTACACAGAAAAGCCAGGTACAGAGCAAATACGCATATGGTAAGACCATACACTTTCAGCTCTGGTGTATTGTGCTGGAAATAATTGTTACGAGCGAGGAAGAGCCCGAACGGCGAGCACTGTGCGGGAATTTCTATCCCACAGGGCACAGGGCCTTCCTCTAGCGACTAGTGCTAGACACCACTTAGGCGTACCATTGCATGTTTCCTTTGAACCTTACTTCTCTGAGGCGGCTATCAGCAAAGCAGTAAACTGTGTAACAAACTTGTTTGTTTTTTCTGAGTGATTGGGAACAGGCGTCTGATAATTGTTTGACGATGCTTGCTATCAAGTGCTCCAATAGAGATACAGTTGGAGAAATTTTGGTTTTGACAATCTTTCTTTAGATGTTTGCAATATTTCTCCAGTTACATGTGGTATGTGTCCTTTACAAGATTCTTCCAAATAATTTGGAGTTTCAATGACCATTTATCATATTGTTGTCTCCGAAATGAGAATGCTTCCTTTGCGAAAATCCTCCCGAAAGGAAGCTCCGGTTGCAAAGTACCTAAAAAATAAATAACAATTAGCAGTTGTAGATTATATTAACCGTAGTTGTAAATAACCAGGAATACTAACCTTAATTTATAATAAAAGACTAAAAGTACTTACGTAAATTCCATCAGTCAGCTCGAATAATATTTTACTGCTGGATCACAATCATCAGATTCAGGGTACTTGTTAAGTTCGTTGAAAAAGCCTTAATTTATCTCTCATAACAGCTCCTAAAAATATGAACAAACTGTGGTACCCACCATGTATCTACTGTCCCTCGTTTACTTCTTGTAACCACTCTGATGTTGGATAAGGCATGCAAGAGTAATGTTTTTAACAACACGTTTTTACAATGGGAGAACTTGCGACCTTAGTGAGTGCTTTTCTGAAACTGACATTTGACAGGTATGGGGCCAGATAGCAGTAAAGATAAACATACAAATGAGAACACTGGCCCAAATTGCCCCAAATGTAGAGGATTATTTTATTATTTATAAACAACAACCACTTCTCTACAGCTTTGTTCTCAATCACTACGCTACAGCTCCAAATTTTGCTGCCCTGTCATGCTTCATCGTCATATGTGTGTGGTTTTACCATAACAAAAACAAAAACATACATACTAAGCAGTGATGGATCAGCTAGATTTAATGGAATTTATCTCTATATTTATAGGCAAGCATGTTTCTTTAAAACCTTCTTTCTCAGCTTATGTGCATCGCAGGGAAAATCTACTCATACTGTTAGAAAGATATTTTCCTGCAGAATCACGTTAAAAATTGAAATAAGCTCAGAAAAATAATTTAAATATTATTAAATATTTACTTGGGCCTTATGGGTTGCCATGCTGGTGACGACATAACAATGAAATATAAACAGAAAATCAAAACAAATGGAAGAAATTCCCACTACATGTTTTATTTACAGCATGGAGTGAAAATAGAAAATTCTGTTCATTACGTCATATTATTTTTGGTCGAGTTTTCGATCACTGGACCACCTCTAGTATATTTTTAAAAACACCGGAGAAAAAATTATATCTACTACTGTATTTACATGTTACCTCTCAAAAAGTTGCAAATGGTGATATTTGAGTTGATTGAATGGTGTATTCTGATTGCTATTGCGTTAGAGTGGACAGCCACAGATCTTTAAGAAAAATAACCTCTTCTTGGCAAATTCTATTTACTCAAGACAAGATTATTCAGTTGGTCGAGATGTATGCTGCATTGCACAGCATACTTTGATAGCTAGCTTCGGTAGCCGGTACTGTTTTCTGGTTTTGTATTAACTTACTTCTCAAGTTTTTTATGTGTGAACTAGGGATGGACGAGATTGGATTTTTAGTTTGAGACGAGACGAGACTAGATTTTTTATTTCTCATAAAGTTTCGAGACGAGATCGAGACGGGATTTCCCTTCTCATACACAACGGGAAATGCACGTTCGGAATTTTTACCTGATTTTGTAACATTGTTAGATTACTGTTTAAATACAAAAATAATGATAATAGGCAAGAATATTTACAATCTTTTATTAAAAAACATCAGCATAACATTTTTTTATTAATCACGCCTAACTTATTAAAAATGCCTACGATCAGGAAACACAGTGATATTAGTTAGGATAGAGTTCAACTTATCCTAAAATAAAATAAATCATAAAATAAAATATTAATTTTTATAAAATAGTTACTTGTTGTGACTTTTTTATAGTAATAAAACATTCCTCACACTGCTAACTCTTAACAAAACTTCTCAAATGTTATTAAAATAATTAAAGTAATATTTACATTTTTGAAGAATTAATTAAATAAGAACACCTTCGCAAAGGAAACGCAACTACAACACGCTCCTGTATTGCGGGTATTGCATTAACTTTCTGCAGGAGTTTTTAATTTTTTTTTTTTTTTTTTTTTATTGTCTTGATAAAAATCTTGCCCAAAAAGAAATCTCGTCTCGTGTAACGAGATTTAAAAATTCCCGAAAATTTCCCAAAATTTCGAGACTTGACCATCCCTAGTTCACATTATACCTTCTAAATTAGATCCAGCCTGTCAAAAAGCTTGACAAGTGCAAACATATTGATTCTCTATGTTGTTATTATGAGGCTTGTAAGTTCCAGTCATGACAAGCAATAATACTTACCAAAGATTTCTTTCCATATTTAAAAATATGGCGCTGAACCATTAAACCGAATTATGACAGTATTATAGCTTAAAAAATAAAAGAAAGGTTTTTTTAAGGATCTGGGCAATAAAAGACAAGAACCTCAGATTTCAAAATATTTATTTAATACCAGCAAATACAACAGTGCTGATACTAGATTATTAAAAAGCTTTGGCAAAATGTACAAATAAATAAAACGGAACATCTTGAAACATTATTCATTTGTTATTATTTTCATATAGAAAATGCAACATTCATAAAAGTTTAATACATTTTATCCTTAAATGATGAAACTGCCGAATTGAACTAAAAACTAAAATAAGTCTTAAAGTAACAACTTGGACACGTCTAAAATATCATTATCCATCTTTCATCTCTGCTCGTAAAAGAATCGATGGAGGAAACACTTCTCACTCTACCGGAAATATCCTTAACTAATATCAAACATCTAACATCTATCAATAAAATAGGGACAAAATATCGGAAGCGGTGACATTCACAAATGAAACAAATATTTAAAATCGGAACAGCAACTGTAACATTTATATGCCGACTGGACATCGTCAATACTTCATTTGTTTATTATCGATTGTGTAGTAAAATCTTATTATCACTTAAACGACTGCTTCAAAAAACTACGAGGAAAATAGAAATATGTCTTTACATAAAACGATTGATTCAGTCTACATTTTGTGCGGAGATATGGTCGGGCTTGTCGCCGGTGGCGTGACGGTTCCACATGATCCTGTAGAGGGTCTCCATGCCTGTAGCGTACTGCTTACAGTCAAACAGTGGACTCTCGGTGCGTGCACGCCACACCTCGGCACGGATGGCCTTCAAACTGTAACACAGACAAGTTGGTAACTCAGTTGACTTTGGTTTGGATCCTGGTTCCCACCACTACTGTTGATCAGTATAGTTCACTCTAAAACCGGCTTACTTCTTGGCTATACTAGATAAGTTCCGCACATGTATCCGAGGCCTGTGTGGACAGGCAAATAAAAGGTTCAAACAGAGCAAAAAAAAAAAAAAAAAACAAGTAAAAGAAATGATTACAAAAAGCTTCAAAACCTGATACTAAAACCTAGGTTATATTTATTATGTTCAGCCTAATAAAATCTACTTAAATTGTAATTCCCAGATCTTGTGCTCTCAAACCCGTTTGTATTTTAGTGATTATAATCTACATTTGGATATTATGCCACCTGAATATTGAGCCTTGTGCCAATCTTTATATTTTCCACATACTAGCAGCACAGTTGCTGACACCTCATTCTACCTGTGTTCAGCCTTTTCAGTCATTCTTGCCAGTGTCTTATCACATAACGTATATAATATGTTACTAATTTCTTCAAGAAACACTTACTGTACAATGGCATATCACTTTTTAATTCAATTCCACTTTTTCTTAAACTTGAACCAAACCTGTTAAAATTTAAAAGACAATTAAAATCTTTGTTGATTAAGTTTACCTGTTACAGCGTCCAAGAATTTTCATCTAAACTCAGTTCCATGAATAGTGATGTAAATTTTTTTATATAAATCTGCACCATTGTATATTGTATAAGATTGTATATTTGTAAATAGTTCTTAAGTATATGTATCCAACTTTTATTTCATTTTGACTTAGCCAATACAACTTGTATACATTGTTAATTCTGGTTGAATAAATGATTTGATTTGATTTGATTTGACTTGATATACACACTAACATTCAATATACAAATGAAACTGTCAGTTTAACTACTACTAAGGCTTACCCATCCGTACAAAATCCGTCCTTGTTACTTAATAGAATTTTTCCAAATAAAGAAACATTAAAGCATCACTCACTATTCTCTGTCAGTGCCGAGACGGATTGCGATCTGCTGATACTCAGCTCTGGTGCGAGCGATCAGTTCTGGCACTCCTAGAGTGGCTAGCTGAGAGGCTGCTACTCGTGAAGCCAGCGTCTCACCTACAAGGTACATAGGTAAGATAAATACATGAATTAAGAGGTGATAACAATAGACAACAAGCTCATATAATGTTTGTAAAAGGCTACACTATTCACACAACTCATTAAGTTATAAAAATGAATTTAGCATTTTTTTTAAGACTTACAGAAGGTTAGGTAAAACAGTTGAGCTCTTGATTCTCAGGCAAAATTGGGTCGGACCGGACCCCAAAAATCAAGTTCCTTTGGAAAGTATTGTTTTTTTTACCTGGCAGTGTGACTACTGGTGTGCCGGTCCACAGCACGTCCATGCTGGTAGTGTGTCCATTACAGAGAGGAGTGTCCAGGCACACGTCAGCTAGCTGGCCACGTCGCACATGCTCCTCTTTGGCGGCAACGTTGGAGAACAACAGACGGCCCGGGGGTAGACCCAGAGCCTGCGCCGCAGCTTGCAGATTCTGCTCTCCTACGGCCGGGAACCGCAGCAGCCACAACACTGCGTTGGGCACGTTCTTCAGTATCTGCAGCAGAATTTGTGACATTCGGTTAATAGTCACTAAACATAAAAATATTAAGAACTCAACTAAAATACCTGAAAGTACAGGGAATCAAAAATACACAGTAAAAAAATTACAAAACATAACAATTATATTTTTTTTAGAAAGCAGATTAGAAAGACATTTTTTGTGAATATCCAATATTAAGACGAAACATCAGTTTAAAATCCTGCAAAAATTTTTATATGTATCCATTAGCCTATGAACACTATTTTTTTTACAGATAAACTAGTTGAAATTAGTGAATGAAAAATAAAAAATCTTTATATAAGCCACTTGGGATTTCTTTAATATACAGATAAAAATATGATCATAAATTTTTTAAAGTAGTACAGTAGACTCTCGCTCATTCAGACTAATGTGGCGGGTGTCCGGTCCGGATTACGAAAAATCCAGGTCCACAGTATTGATAGCCCAGCAAATGCAGTTTCACCGGTAATAGATGGATTTTAGGTACGATTTGGTAGAGAAATATTTTTTTATTTAAGCATAAATCACTTATTACTGTACTGTAATAATAAACCATACTCTCCAGTTTCAATACGATTTTTGTCTAATTATAACCTATAATTTTTAACGCCGTGATTTCCGAGTTTTTGACTATCCGAGGTAGTCTCGGTCCCGTTTAGCTTGGATAATCAGAACTGAAGAAATCCCTACTGTGCCACTAAAAAATTCACAATTGCCGATCTGGACTAGCGGGAGTCCGGACAAGGCCGATCCAGATGAGCGAGAGTGTACTGTAGCCTAGTTCCTTGAAAATGATTTTTAATTGGTTTAAGAGGTGAAAAACATTAAATATAAATACATAATCTAAAAGAGTTTGACATAAAACAAAATCTATCATATGAAATAATATGATGGACCACCATATTAGACCTGAAGAAAAAACTCTCTTTCTTGGTTGAAAATGTTGTCAGTGGTTGTGAAATATTGTAATGTTTTGTGTATGTAGCGTTAAGTTGTGTGTCTCTTGTGCAAGTTGGACTCTTTGCCACTCAGGTAAACCCGCTATCCTCACAAAAATCATAGAACCTTATGCATGTTGAATCCTTAAAATTATGAAATAATTACTCTTTTCAGTTATCTACTTAATTTTTTTTTTAAAGAGGTTGGCGGCCTCTTTTAACCTTGCATTTGCCCGTCCACATAGACTACAGATCTGTGCGTGGAACGTATCCAGCAAAGCAAGGGGTGAGCCGGTACAGTACAAAGGTGAACTGTACAGATAAAAGTTAGTGGCAGTGACCAGGATCCGAACCCACGACACTTCTGCCTTGGGCCCGAAGTCCGCGACGCTACCGACTGAGCCACCAACTCACCTACAAATTACACTGTCCTATGTCCTAAAATAAATCGTAGACAAAAATAAATTTAAAACACACACACACTTGTATTCCATCAACAGTAATTATTTTCTCACTCCATCTCCCGAGATACTCACATGCACCCACATCTGCAGCGTAGGTGGGTCAATCTTGTACAGCTGGTTGAAGTTGCAGTAGACTATTGCGTCGTCTGGCAGCCCGTACTGCTGCCTGGTGGTGATCACTATAGTTTGCGGCACCTCTTCTCCAGTAGCTGCTTTGTTGTTGGTCTGGTTGGTGGCGAGTCCGTTCTGTACGACCACTCCGTTCACTGACGTCTGAATCTGGCCGGAGGCTATCATTGTCTGTGGACAAAATTAATGTTTAAATAAACAACAATGAAAATAAACAAGCTAGCCTTATGTTATTTTCTGTCAAAATTGTCTTATTTTTTTATTCAGGGAGTAAAATTGACTTTTAGGATACTAAAGTAGACATCCCATCCAGACGGACCAGCTGTATTTTTTTTTTTTTTTATTAAAAAAGCAACATAGTTGAACAAACCATCAGTCTGAATTTCAATGTTATACCCATGCAAAAAAGGAAAGTCATTTTGGCTGTTAATGAATTATTCGAAAAGGAATAGAGTTTAGCTTGCATACCTGAGAAAATTAGGATTCTAGGGGCTAACAGATTCACAAAAGAACACTAAATAACACTGATTTTGCCCTGTTGTGGGATTTTCTCATAGAGTAGGTTGTTGTGAATATTACAGTGTATCTATAGCCCCAGTACTCTAATTTTAACAAGTTAGCAGCTAAACTCTATTGTTTCAACTAAGGATGGACGAAAATAGATTTTAAGTTTGAGGCAAGATTCTTTCTTCTTGCCATATTTCGGGCTCACCATTTTGGTAGTGGTTGTTTGTGATTCAAATAAACTTACGGCCAATTAAGTAAGAGAGAAAAATCATTTATTGAATAGTTACAATTTTGTGTACCTTCCTCTAAAAACCCAATAACAAGAATAATGAATACTGGTTGCTAAGGCATCAGCTGACGCCACATTACTCGGGAATCATTTGTTTGCACAATTCTACAGTGGTTAATAAATAACAATAAAGCACAAAACGAGTGTACAAAATAACAAAAGCTTACAGGAACTTGTGTTACTTCTGATCGCGGTGATAATGATATCGTATACAGTAAAACCTATTATATCCGGTATAGACAAATAACTGGATAAACCAATTTTATAGATTTTTGAGATGTACACAGTTAAAAAACGCCTTCAGAAAGTCTGAAAGTCAGAAAGTCACCCGAACTATGTGTGTTCTTGTTACGTTTTCTTTTTGTAATCTAGCAAATTTCTCGAAAATTTTAGACACGCCCATCCTTAGTTTCAACCCGTGGTTTTTGTTACTGGGATAGTTGATGTGACAAAAATATGCTATAGCTAACAATAAATCATTCTATCAGTTCAGCTTGGCAAAAAAATACGGTGTACAGAGATTAGTTACAGTCTACAGTGGCTTAATTCAAATCCAACCAATTTTTGTCAATTTTTACTTTAAAACTAGTGACAATTTTAACATGGGGATAATTTGTCTAGTTTTATCGATAGTCAATGATAGAACTAATAACATTGTACATGGTTTTGGTTTGCAAGATAAACTTGTATTGGTTTTAGCCTACACAAATCACTTACTTCAATAGGTGAAGCATTGGAGAGTTCGGCCACTTTGAGTGAGATCTCAACAGGTCGACTGTTCTTGTTGTCTACTTGAGGTGCCACAACCTTCACCTCCTTCACCTGAGAAACATATACATATAAATATCATATAACTCCTGTTATTTTGTTGTTTTCCTTCCTGTACCGTACCCCTTAGGACCCTAGGTTCTGGATTAACATTACTCCAGGCTAGGCCTAAAGGTTTGTGGCCTCATCTTTTAGATACAATCCATTGGTGATTGGTGGAATATGAACTCAGAACTTGAAGTCCTGCGCTCTACTACTAGACCAGCTTGCTCCCCCACATATTTTGTACTGATTTATTATTATGGCAAATAAATAATTGAGAAAAAACAATGGATTTTGGTGCAAACTATAATTAGTATATAATGATATGCTTTGGTCCAGGATCACTTCTTGAATATTAACATGTTATAAGATTACCTGTTTCCGTCTATGATCCTACAAATTTATCACTACAAATTTAGGATCATAGACGGAAACGGGTAATCTTATACCATTTTCATATAAATAATTAGTATTCCTTTATCTAGATGAAAGGCTTCCACGGTCACGGCAGATTGTCAAATCTTGGTCTTCGGGTGATTACTGTGTTGTTAAAATAGTGAAACTAATGGCCAATGTTTCGGATGCATAGCAGCTGTCCATCTTTGGGGCAAACTACTATTCAACTGAACTAGTATTCCTTTGTGACAGGTGGCATCTTCTGGCCACAGTAGAAGAATGCACGTTTGAATTATGGATAATTTCATAGGATTACAAAACTCAAGAAAAAAACCCTTTCGTAAGCCAATCAGTCGATATAACAGTTATAATTACCTGAGTGCTCTCCATAATGGGAGAGAGATCGGTGGCGTTGATCACAGCCACGTTGTCCGCAATATCTTTCTTGCCTCCCAACTGCAAACAAGCAATAACATTAATCATCCTGCTGACTTTTATAAGTAAGACAATTTCAATGTTTTTAATTTCCTTTAAAATGTCACTAGGTTAAACAGTGGTACCGTGATGTGCTTGCGGTTCTCTTGGAAAAATCTAGAATGGTTGAATTAAATGAATATCAAGTATCAATTAAACAAAGTAGACAAAGTTATTTCAAAAAATTTAAAAGTGTGTATAATACGGTTTGAACAGTGTAATAAAAGTTTAACAGGACATACCAAATATGTAAAATATTTAAAAAAATATTCACAAGTTGAATTAATTTTGCTCAATAATTCCTAACAAACGTTTTTAATCAGAAGGTCGCAGGTTCTAATCCTAATTTTCAGAACAGATCCATTTTCAGTAGAGATTTTGTCATTGGGATATGAATTAATGATGATATCTAACAAAAAGGTCGACGTTAGATAGTAATCAGACCAGGTTTGGACCGTTCAATAATGTAAAAATGTCATTGGCATATAAAGCACACACATACAAACCAAACACACAACAGAAACAAAATTATGGCTACAAACCTTTTCAGTAAGAACGACTCGTTCTTTTAGATGGGGGAACATCTGCCTGTGGTCTCCAACGAAGTAAGTGTGAGGCATGAACGCCAGTTTCTCGCTGTACTGCGGCGCAAGCTCTACCGGAGAAGTCACCTGGTCGGTGATCAAGTAGTCCATGAAGGAGGCTCCACTAGTGCCAGGGTAGCCTAGCCACATCACCTGTAAAAGACAAGCTTTAGGTGAGTCGGTAACACAACACACTTCCATGACAGCGTCGTGGATTCCTATCCTGGTATGAGTTCACCAGCCTAGCCACATCACCTGTAAAAGACAAGCTTTAGGTGAGTCGGTGACACAACACACTTCCATGACAGCGTCGTGGATTCCTATCCTGGTATGAGTTCACCAACAGTTCACCTGCTAAGGCTGGAATGTTCCAAACACCTGAGGCCTATGTGTTTTTATCAATCAATTATTTAAGATGGGGACGCCACTATGTGCGTATTTTAGGGGTCTGCGGGTCCCCGATTTTTTCGGGTCGGGTCGGGCCAGCGGAAGGCCCGAGAGACCGGGTCGGGTCAGAGATTTTTTCGGGCCAAGATCGGGTCGGGCCAAAAAAAATTTATTATTTTCAAAGTTATAATAAGTAATTTTCAAAGAAACACTCTTACATATATTATTACAGCGGAATTAAAACGTTAAAATTATAATTAAATATTAAGTTTGCTCACGTTTAAGAACAAAGACACAACAGAGCAAATGCCGTACTGTCACTAGCCAGAGCCAGTCGTCTACTGACAAAACAAAAGCCGTGACGCAACAGTGCAAAGAAAACGAAGTCAAAAGAAAGACTATTTATCCAGAGGTACCAGTTTAATTATTTATTGTTTATTCCATACCTAGTTTAAAATATATTTTAGTATTTTATTTACATAATAAATTATAAACAAAAGAAATATCTGATATCGTGTACAGATCTGTATCTTGTTCTTTTATTTTCCTGTGTCTTTTTTGTCATTCAGTAACAAAACAAAACAACACTTCTGATCGTCTGGTTCGGCATTGTATGGTCACCATTTAATTTTTTTTTAAGTATCAAGTATCAGCAAGTCTACAAAGAGGTTAGGCCTAAATATTTTATAATTTTATGAAAGTTTTTATCAGTAAAATTATTTTTTTCTTAAGTTAGATTGAGTTTCAAAAAAGATATTTCTAAGATCCAATACAATATTTACAAGACACAAACTACCATGAATTAATTTCTTTGGAAATTATCTGTAACAGTTTTATATTTTTGAATAAAGAAAATATATCTTTTTGTCTCTACTTCCTTCTTTCGTTACTTGCATTTTGTCAGCAATTGGAACAATCGGGTGGTGTAATAGGGGTGGGGGAGGGGGAGGGTCTATGACCTTGAGTGTCCCCGGGCCTGGCTCTGGTTGTGTAAGAGGGGCGGGGAGGGGAGGGGGAGGGTCTGTAACCTTGAGTGTCCCCGGGCGCCCGGCTGTGAGAGTGATTCATGGTTTTTTGTTTACATTCTACTACCCTTCCCCCTTCCTTCCGAGAAAAAGACCCTACAGTTTCAAAAACATCGACTTACAGTATAAAAACATTGAGTTGTGTTGCTAATTAGGACACTATAATGTCTCTGCTGTCTGCTTATGTTGCCAAATTAGCATTTAACTTTCTTTTCTCTTGATTTAATATAATTTTCTATATATTAAGAGTTCCTTTTCAGGTACCTAATAATTGTGATATTGTTTAACTTGAGTTTATGGATTTTTAATTCTTTTCATTTATTAGCTAAAATCAGTTGTTTTAGGATTTTAATCTCTTGCAATACCGTAGGTCTATAACTGTGTATGACATGATATATGCAATTTTTACAGTCTTTACTATAACTAACTATACCATAAACAATGTATGTGTGTTATTTACTGTTTTAGAGTTTTTAAAGTGAATTAGTTTACACACAATCTTTTCTTCAATGAGTTCTCCACTTGTCATGTTGCTTAGTCTATTACTATTTTAGGCCCTATAAAAAATAATTCCTATGTAAAGCTGTAGGCCTAGTAATGCCAATAATAAATAATTCTTTATTTATGATGATATGTAACTAATAATGCTATTGTAAGTGTGAGGTTTTTATACTTAGGAGGTTAGGAGGCAGGGAATGAATGATTCATATTGCATGGTGGAAACATAGAATTTTTATTTTCTTCTTGCTTGCAGTCTTTAAGCCAGTCCACAGGCCCTAAACTTGAGATAAGGTTAATTGATTTGTTTATGATCCTTTTATATTAAGTTCCATTACAAACTTGTTGTAATTTAGCTGTTTAGATATTTCAACAGTTATGAAAATGGGAAAGAATGGCTTGATAAAAAAAATTATTTTCTTCTTTCTTGCAGTTGAGGCAACTCCTAAGCTGTAAATAAGTTATGAACATGAAATGATATACATAAATACAATCGTTTTTCATATGTTATTTTTAAGTAATATTATAAACACAGATAGGAGTTAAAAAAAGAAAAAAAATCTGGTAATTAATAATTTTTGGCCCGACCCGATTTTGGCCCGAAACCCGAGGACCAAAATTATCAGCCCGACCCGACCCGACCCGAACCAAAAAAGTCTGACTCGCAGACCCCTAGCGTATTTTAACCCAAATATGAGTGAAGGATGAGTGTAGGATGAGTGGCCCGATCTTGTAGTCTTGTTAGTGACTAAGGCCGACATGTTCCTTAGACACAGCTGTTAATTAATAGCCCATACAGCTAATGGCAACTAAGGGACCTACAGTTTATAGTGGAATCCGAACCACATTTTTTCCTTGTAATTTACGAATTGGTCTAATTATCAGGATAGTACTGCCGATAGTCGTAGTACTCACTTACTAGTGCGGACGTTAATCCACACCAGGGAGCATCGCATCCACAGGGCATCCATATAAATATCCACAATTCGTGACCTCCTAGTAGCTGGATTACAGGACGACGCCACCCGTCCCAGTCATCTCCATTCATGTGGGGCATTATACAAAGTTAAAGGAAAAACAAACAGTATCAGCAATACTTAAATACTTTACTTTTAATTGAAATGGCGACCACATGAAGGTAGGTATTTTAAGCCAAGCATGAATGGAGATGACTGGCGCGATCTTATAGTCTTCTTACTAAGGTCAACATGTTCCTTAGACAGGCCTGTTAATTAATAACCCTTACAGCCTATACCAACTAAGGGACTTACAGTTTATAGTGGAATGCGAACCACATTTTAGTCTTGTAATTAACAAATTGGACTAATTATCAGGGGATAGTCGTAGTACTCACTAGTGCGGACTTGAAACCACACCAGGGAGTATTGTATCCACAGATCTGACACATACTTTCTCCAATTAATTTGTCAACAACCCTTTTCATGGGGAAGCAGTGGGAGTATTTGATTGATGAAATCACAAAAGTTGAGATAACTTTTAAACCGTAATTTTTACAGCAATGGGGGTTGTACCATTTAGTTGAAAAATTAAAAGGACTATAACATACTACATTTCAATAAAAATATTTCCCTGGTTGTTTTGAAGAAAATCCTATTTTCTAGTTATTTAATGGGATTATGAGAAAATCACCATAACAGACATTCTACCAAAACTCAAAATAAAAAACTTTGATGGAAACAATGGGCTGCTTTCTCTATAAAGGCTTCTTTGTATAAGGGGATAAAGTAGAAAACAGAGAAATTAATTTTATTCTGCAGCAGGAAAATTACAAGTGAGGAAGATTTCAGACCCTTACATTGTTAATGTGACAAACCAGATGCTCAAGATCCCTGGAACCATAAATCTCAACCTAGACACCAGCGGTCGAACAAAAAGAACCCCACATGCTAACTCGAGAAAGACAGACCTACGTCTTTCGACATGGGTAAACAGTTTATCCAAAAACTCAACCTATATAAAATACCATGCAAATCTTACATTACTGAGTATTATTTTGAGTTTCAGCGCTCAACTCATGTCATATTGAAGATAAACAGTCATTTGATCTATTTCAAAGTATTTTTCTCAAGTCATATTAGATTTTCAACCCACCTGCACAGGTGCTGGACGGAGTGCAAATATCTCATTCCTGGCTCCCTTGGTGTATCCGTTCATGTTGACCAGGATGTGGATTCCATCTGCATTAATTCTGTCTGCTGCTTTGCCGTTGCATGGGATCTGTGGTAAAATTCCAACATTAAACACTTGAGAATAGTTAAACCATCACTAAGTAGACATTTCTTTGGCCAAAATGAATGTTTGCATATTATGTTTTGGATAGGGGTGGGCAAGTATGATTCCACTCATTGTTGTCAAGCATTGCACCTATTCTTGAATATTAAATTAAATAGAATTTTTGATTTTTTTTTAACTATTTCAAATTACATATTGTTTTTTTTTTATTATTTAATTAGGTACCTAGAATCTTAAGGATAGGTAATTGTTGAATGTTTGGGGACTAGGTATTATATTAATCGGTAATCGCCCTCTTTTTTGCTCTTCCAAATGAGTCCATATAATACAATATATAATACAATATATAATACAATATATAATACATATATAACAATATCAAAGGCACATTTCAGGAATACCTTAACTTTGAGAATCAATTGCTATATTATCCATTATGTTAGGCCTACCTTAGAAAAAGTAAGCCATAGGAGAGACAGAAGACACATAAAACATGTATTTTAGATGTCTTCTGTATGTTTTATGTTCTACCTGTAATTCTTCTAAGGTAAGCTAGCTGGTCTCCCTTAACTCTACAAAATCAAAATCCTAGTGCCTTTCCTTGACGAAAACTAGCTCTAGATTTAAATCTTAACAATCATCTTAACATAACCCACAACTAACCTGTGAGAGGTCAATGAAGTGTTCGGACTCGCGGGCTATCTTGGTGCGGAAGGTGGTTCCGTCGTCCGCACTGAGAGCGTAGCAGAATATCTCCACCCTGGACCTATCGTGGAGGCCGGGGATACTCTGCATCAGATGTGAGGTCGGGTGGTTGCCAAAGTCTGACGAGACGTAGCCGATACGCAGCCGGCCGCTCACCTCCTTCGGATACTTGTAAGGTGGTTTGTGGAGAACGTGAATCTGCAACCATAGGATTATATGTTAGGTACCACTAACTTTTCGTACAAAAGGAGTAAGATTGAAGTAAGATACAATATACTCCTTTTCAATATACTTCAATATATGACGTAAGGGTAAAAAAGTTCAAAACTTTTGTTACTAAGTCTCTTATTTAGTGAGAAAGATAACAGTTAACATCTTACAACTTAATGCTATACACAAACCAAAATGCCTTATCAAAGAATATAACTCCTCCTTGTACACAAACTAACCTTATGACTTACTTTGAAGACAAAGCTCAAAAATTTAACTAAAAACTCTCTCAGACAAAAACTTAATTTTCACCTGACATATACATAAAAACATACAAAGACAAATTCTGAAATCCAAAGATGGGGTAGCTTTAGGAGTATAATGCTAAATATTACTTAAATAGAACATAAAATTAGTATACTATCTTAAAACTACAGTTTACATAACCCAGGCCTTCAGCTTTGGTTCTTCAACATCTGTCTCCTAAACAACTATTCTCATTGCGTATAGAATCAGCTTCCAGAACCCAAATTGTTGTGAAAACTCAATTTGTCAATAATTGTAATGAAAAATGTCTACAATCCTTAAATATATATAATCAATCGGTCACTAACCTTCTCCAGACACAAGTTGGCATGTCGTGCCGCGATGGCCTTGCGGAACTCATGTGTCAGAGGGTACAGCATGGAGTGGTGTGGATGTACCGACGGCAGCCTGTTCTTGTCTAGCTGTTCGGCTACGATGCTCACCAACTTCTTCATCCGTGCGTCGTAGTCCGTCCAGTCGCACACTATTTGCAAACAGTGCGCCAGATTGCAGTACGCATCTGGGAAGTCCGGTTTTAACTTCAGCGCAGTCCTGTACGACTGGATGGCCTCGGGAATGTTGCCGGAGTCCTGAAACAGGGAGATAAGTTACAGAGATTTTTAAGAACAGTCAAGTCCCGGTTATGATAGCAATAATCTGAAACAAGTAAAAAGAGGAACTCTGAAGAAAAAAACCAAGAAAGGCCTTGGTAAAAATAGTGGACCCAAGTGATGGTTGATATGGAACGTATAGAACACATGAAATTGAGGGAGGTGGAAGGATTTTTTGGTGCGGCAAAATATCAACTCAGATATACAAGGCCATGGGAGGAAGAGTCTCAATTATTTGACCTAAATCAGAATCAGCTGTGGTAAGGTTAGATGAGCATTAGAGTCAGACAACACACAAAAAATAAACATTATAAACATCATTAACAATCTTCCAATTCATTAAATGTCTCTGTAGTCAAACCAGTAGGAGGCTTTGAATAAGATTTTTCTTGACAATCTTACACACTGTGACCATAATGTAAAGGGTAGCAGAGAGTTATGCAGTTAGGGCCAACTGTGTGATCGTAAACAATTAGAAAGTACAAAACAGTCAAGGCAGACACCTAAAGCCTGACCTGAAACTTCCGAGTACAAACTGAGGCGGCAAAAGGAATTTTATGGAACTCGATTATAGCCAGGCAAGGTTCAAACAACACAGAAAGTTTAGATAACTGGATAGTCAAGACGCCACTGGTTCATAATTTAGATTAGAAACAATTCCTAATTAATACTACATGTTCCAAGATTAAGGCAGATACTTTTATTCTCAGAGGTTATTTATTTTACTTAGTGGAACATTATGCCTTTGGTAAACATCAACAAAAATACAAGGTTTGTTGGCCAACAATCAAAAATATTAAACTCTAAACAGGTTCCCTACCGGGTGTCAGGAGACTACTCATACAGAGGAGTCTCCCCCCCCCCCCCCCAGTAATTAATGTGTTTAACTTTAAACATTTAAACAGCCACCCAACCATATAATAACTTATAAACAGCTTACTTACCACACATCTTATGGTTACTTTTGTTGAAGAGCTCTCTCTGTATTACAATTGCAACGTATACCAGCAAAGCACCCATGCACAATGATATTCAAACACAATTACCAAGTATTGTATGAGGGTTTCATATACAACTATACAAACACTATTGTTGTTGGGATCACAGGCTTACCTAAATGGGAGAAAGGCCATCTTGGTACAAGAAAAACAAAAATTAACTTGATAAAAATTTGAATAATTTTCTGTTAATAACATTGTTTTCAACTACGGAAGGTTTCGGTTGGATTGTTTGTGTTCAAAAAAGGGTTTTATGTCTCTTGTGATGGACTCTTTCCTATTTCATAAGCCTGTTATCCTAACGCAAGTCCTTTAAACCTAGACTATTCTATTCTATGTTACATAAATAAATTTATAAACCTTTGTAATTAGTTTTTTACTACCTACCCAAGTGACAAACTGCTATCAAACTAATCCATTTGTCAGTACACCAGATAACTTTCTTTTCATACTTACCGCAAGACACCATCTGGAACTACCAGACTGTCTAAATACTCAACTTACTGCAGTGCTCTGGCCGCCAATGAACTGTAAATACTGAAATATAACTTACGATAATGCAAAGCTGCACCCAGACTTCATCCGACGGTTTTTGCTGAAGGACTGCTGCTAAATGTGGCTGAATCAGAATTTGGCTACCACGAAGATATACCTGGGTGTCAGTTTATGCATGTTTTCGTAATTTCGTTCGATGAGAAAGAGAAATAGGTCTATTGAACAGATCATTTCGTGACGACCACCGCTTGTGAAGGGGGTCAGGAAAAGGTTTTAGTTGGGGAAAGAAATTGATAAAAGGTGCTTGAAATAACTAGGGCAAGACGGCACAATGATAGGGAAGTCAATTTTGCTATGACAGTAGACTTAGCTAATTTCTGTGGATTACGAAAAGCCAGTGAATGTTGATGAAATCGTCAACATGGTACCCCTTTAGTTTAGTAGTATATTCGTTTCTTTTTTTTCTTTTTAGTTGACCATGCTACATTTTGCCACAGTTAAATCAATCACAAAATTGGGTGAATTGAAAGAAAACTGCTAAGTCAATGGGGTAAGGGGAGATTTATCTTCCTGACCAACGAATAGAATTCAGAAATTTCTCTTTCTCATATCTCATCTCTGAAACACCTTTACTTGTTTATCATACAAACCCTGTCATTATTACTCCATCACTAATTACAATACAACTAGGATAAATTAAATTACAACTTAGTTTGTGCAATCTCAAAGCAACTTAAAGGATAGCTCAAAGCAGCTTTGAGTTAAGCTCACCAATTTGTCAGAAACATTTCATAGAAATAAGATTTCAGAATCAAAATCGTAACTAGTTATCTAGATAACTGGTACTTAGATAGAGCTTTCTCTGCTACCCAATCTTCTTAAACACTAAATCAGAAATTAAATTAATTGTTAGTATCGAGTGAATTATTCTTCACCCAGTTGTAAATTACTTCCATACAACTCATCCCTCCAAAAAGTTCCTAATCAGAGACTTTTTCATTAAGTTTCAGAAATAAATCATCAACCTCAGCGATATGTAAAACTAAAACCTTAGTTAAAATAAAATCTCAATATTGCTTTTCAAATATTTACGACATAAATTAAACATCCTTAATAATCTCTTGTTAAAAAAGTATCATGTAGTATCTTAGACTATGGATGAATCTCAACATTCCATTCTCGTATTAAAGTAGTCAATGGACAAAAAACAGTAGAATTAAGCCACTGATAGAGTACGCCATTGAAAATTTAATATTCATTTTAAACTCCCTAACTTTTTCACCAAACCAAACTAAAAGATCATTACATTTAATATAACATTTTAGCCTCCTAATCACATTTAAACATTATCATTTGGTTTAAAATACCTGCATCTATGTGATCTATGTGTTGCGGTATGACAACTAGTTTCCTAACATACAAGCCAATTAAAAATATATAAGACACACACACGTGTACAGAAAAGACAAAAATCTAAGTACCGGAAACAAAAAACAAAAGAACTGAACGATGTGGGTATGTCACAAACCGAACGGGTGCCGGTTCTAGCTCGGATCTGGCGGATCCGGTAGTCCGATATTCGGATCCGACCATCACTAGTCGAATCTAGTTGCCATATGGCAACACATCGTGCATAGATACAGGTATTTTACACCAATATAAAGTGAAAGAATATCTTTAGCATATTTAACGTCTCATAACCTATCTCAGTAACAAAAACTAAGCAAGATAGACTTTAGCGCACTCTGTGAGTTGCTAATTCAACTGTTTTCTTTTTTTAATAAAATGTATACTTCAGTATCCAAAAGTCAATAGTACACAATTTATTGCACTCAAATTTTCACTCACTCTGTTGCCAATTACTTAGTAAGTCTGCTATGTTTTGAGCAACTTGTGTATGACGTATCATGTTACCTTGTGAATGGAGGCGAGGTTGCTATGAGCGTCAGCGAACGCAGGGTTGATCTGTATGGCTCGTGTGTAGCACTGCAAAGCTCCTTGTATGTCTTGCATCTCCTTCAGCGTGTTTCCCATGTTGCTGCAAGGAAAAAAAATGTCATCTCAACTGTTGCACTAAAGATTCAGACTATATTTTTTACAAATGTGTATTGACTATGACTATCTTGCAGCTGCAGCACAGGAAAAACTTGTAAATATAGAAATGAACTTTGTCCTCAGTCAATCTATAGTGTTTGTCTTTTTGATATGGTTCTAGCCCGCCTCATTGTACTGCTATTTTCACTTTCCAACAAGATGAAATCCTTGTTACACATTGGAGTTTTAGGTAGCATTAATATTGATAGAAAATTTATCAACCTGACAAACAGACATAATTTATCATCCCTTATTTGTGGTGGTATAACATTGATTTTAAAAGAACATATTTTCATTGCCAAGGAAAATATCAAGTCTGACTAGATACACTTATTTGTAATTTCCTTAAGAAATACATAAGTATCAAAATACAGACATTATTGACTGATTCATAGAACAACACCATGAGAAACGATGTGAGAAGGCAGCTTAGGTCCCTAGATTAATTTTTGATTGTTAGTAAAACTAGACATCCCCATGCCCATATTGAATTGTCCCCAGTTTTAGACTCAGTTGAATTGAGACCCCAACAGAATGTGCTGATGTATATTACTGATTTCTATTGAATACACAAACTGATTAAAAAACCAAACCGATAGAACAACCTAATGTAAACCATTATCTTTCAAGTCACATAGACAATTTCAGTAACAAGAAACAGAGAAAAAATAGAGTTTTAACTGAAGTACTAGAGTAGCTCATTCAACTACATGTTCTTTTTTATTAAAAAAAAGCTACAACTGGTTTATATAGCAGGGATATCTACTTTAGTAACCAAAAGTGAATGTTTAGCAGTAGGTTATGTACTGACCTGTAGGCATCCGCAAAGGTCGGCTGTATGCGGATGGCCTCCTTGTAGTGCATCAGAGCCTCGTTGAGTTTCCCTTGCTGTTGCAGGACGGACGCCAAGTTGCTGTGGGCTGCCGCAAACTCCGGGAACACCTACAATCATTCACTTCCATCAATAATTCTGAATTAATTCAAACCCTGGATTAGATCCATTTGTTACAACTATTGCAATCCTCTGAAGAACAGAAATGATTTTTTAATAGTGATCTCTTCGATATGGTCCTGTTCTTTTACGATTGAGCTCTACATTTCGTTCACATATTCAATTTTGAGTAGTTATAATACTGTATTAAAGATCTTGTTGATATAAATCTCTTCTTTCTAAAAAAATAAAGTCTTGCATTTGCTTTGCAGATTATAACGATCCAAAAAGCTACAGGATTCTCCTTCACCTCAAGCCCTGCTTTTTTAAGGATTGAGGCTAATGTTTAGTTTAATACAGGGTGTCCCGGAACTCTCTACCAGTATTTTAGGGCAGTGCTCCTGGGTAAGAAACATAACTAAATATCATATTTAAACTGTCCGGAAGTCCTTAGTTACTCACACAGCCGCCATTTTGTTTTTTTCAGTTATTAATTTTTTTCTAAAGAATGGTCAAACATACGAAATGGAAACTTTGCAGAAACATTTATGACAACTAGACAAAGCTACCAAAAAATTATCACGATTTTTCAAATTCATAAAACAAAATGGCGGCCATTAAAAATGTTTGTAAAATCAATGGTTTTTGAGTTATTTGAGAAAAAAATTTTTAAATGGCCGCCATTTTGTTTTATGAATTTGAAAAATCTTCATAATTTTTTGCAGCTTTGTCTAGTTGTCATAAATGGTTGTGCAACGTTTCCATTTCGTATGTTTAACCATTCTTTAGAAAAAAATTAATAACTGAAAAAACAAAATGGTGGCTGTGTGAGTAACTAAGGACTTCCGGACAATTTAAATATGATATTTAGGTACGTTTCTTACCCAGGATCAATGCCCTAAAATATTGGTAGAGAGTTCCGGGACACCCTGTATATTTCAATTATCTGAGAAGTTGTAAATTGTCTAACCCATTGACGAAGACTTACATGCTTCACCGCATTTCGCCGTGATATAGTCCTACTAACCCAAAGGCCTTCAAGAAGTACAACAAATCTAACCTACAAGCAATAGCATCGTCGTGAACTTATACTCGCAATCGATCCATTTGGCCGACGGTGACATGGTGGTTCTGTTGGCTCAGCGTTGCCCTGACAAGGGTACCATTGAGGTCTTTTACATGCCAGGGATCGAATCCTGTACATGTGCAATCTAAATTGAGCTAGCTAATGTATGGCTTGGCTGAAGTGGAGGGTGTGCAGATTAGGTGGAACTTGTCAGCATTAGTGAGTTAATAGGGATTGCACACAACATTTGTTTTTCTTCATTTCTACATCGGTTTCAAAATCAGAATCAGAATCAAAAATCTTTATTTATGGAGAAGACCAAAGATTTTTATTTTTTAGCTTTTAATTTGGTTGAAAATGGACATATCTTGTTGAAATATATGATAAAAGACATAAAAGGACTTAAGACTTGGAAAAAATATTAAAATAGATAGGTAAAAATTATGTTGTTGTTGAGCTAAAAGGTCAATAAATGGGTTGATTTGATCAGCTATATGTTCTTCACCTCCAGAGCCTTGAGGTAGAGTCTTGTGGCTTCCTCGATGTAGCCTTGCTCCCTCTTGATGTTGGCCAGGTTGTTGAGGGAGTCTGCGTGTGACGGGCACAGCCGCAGAGCAGTGTTGTAGCATTCTTCTGCCTCCACCACCTGAAACGTAACCAGATAAATAAATCAATCCCTTAACCACGACCTTAACAAAAACTAAATAAATGAATTATTACTGAACCTTGATTATAACACCTTGAATAGAGATGAATCACTACTTTATCTACCAAAGAAATACAAATGTACATAAGCATTGAATTTGACTACTTTTCATGCAAAAGATAATATCACTTGTCTTTTTGTTACATAAAAACTTAGTAGACGGAGCATTTATTTGTGCTGTAGACACATAAACAGGCCTTTAATGAAAAGGAATCGGCTATTTACTACAAGAATGTGTGTAAGCACCTTGATTTTTCAAGCTGAGCCTGGCTTTTATTCTTGCGATATCAGAAAGTTTCTGCGAAGATGCTCTGTTTAAGATTTTCAAGATTTGGTGCTAATTTTAAGAGACATTCACAGTTAAACCGGAACTGTGGAGGGTGCTTACATTTAAACTGTGGCCACAGAAAAAAATTACCATTAATTTTGATTAAGATATATATTGTACACTATTGTAAAACAATTGTAGTGGTAACAATAACATAAATACCAAATCAATCCAGTTCAAAGCTACTTCATTTTGGCCAGAGATCTGAGGATCAACATTTTTGACCCTACCTGAAGTAATAAAGTCTGTCATATAAAAAGTGAACTAATATTTTTAGACTGAAAAGGAAGGTATCTGATTTTCCTGCCCAGTTCACACAGTAGAACAAATTTATAAATCTCTTCTCTGGTCTTCAGAGAAAAACCATATCACACCAATATGGTGTAATTGCCTCTTTGGCCGTTGCATATGGCCATTTTTGAAGAACCTTACAATTCAGATGTGGTAAAAGTATTATTGTTATCACAACCACTTGTGACAATCCAAGCGCAATGACACTCTAACAAACTTTTCTTGTTCTAGCACAATCTGTTCTATTTAGTTGCTAGCTTACCTGTCCTTTCTCCTTAAGGGCATTTGCCAAATTACAGTAGGCATCGGGGAAATTTGGCTGCAACTCGATGGCTCTGCGATATGTATCGATGGCGAGATCGATGAGACTAAACAAACAAATAAACTAATCAAAGTTAGAACAACATGATACTTAAATTACATCTAAGTGGTCATATCCCTTTGGAAATTAATAAGAGATTTGAAGCTACGCAAATCTTAAAGTTTTAGTACAGCTTAAAAAAACAACTAGAAATTCGTTTTGACTCATCAAATGTCAATACACACAATTAATTATAGATTGAAAGCGCAATGTCATACCATCGTGAATCGTTCTTGTTGACCATATTTAATAATAAGAGGTTAATATGTCTAGGGCTATTTGTCGAGTTATTTTTTGTGTTTTCATATTTTATTAGTTCATGTTCTAAGTGTAGGCCTAATAATAGTTTGACAAAATTAAGTGGATAAACTTTATACCCTGATGGATATGACCATGGTTTAACATAAGCCAAAATCCAGGTCATCCACTACTAAGGATGACGTGGATTTTGGCCTCAAGGGATATCAAAACAAAAAAGTAGATCGGTCCAGAGTCTAGGTCTTATCACGAGACCTAGGGCAATAGCTTATTTCCTATAAGGGAAATTCGCCAAAAGAGAATATTACTAAAAACAAAACACAGTTCCTTTTTTCCTTTTTCTGAATTTACCAGACACAATTAATTAGATCATGTAAAACTTGTAAATTAGGCTTCTACACTAACATGTTTTATTATAAAATTAATCATATCACATAGATTAACCAATTAATAATTTGAAAATAAGCAAATTCAACTCAATTTTATTAAATAATTTGATAAAGCCAAGGAAATTGTTCATAAGAAAATGGGTCTTACTGAGACAAATGGAACCGTTTTGCCAGAGATGAAATCTCTTTATGGTGTATTAGTATGCAAATCAACACAACACCGTCAGACTAGCCACTTTGATCATTATTCAAGGTAATGGTGTGCTTAGCCTGATAGAAACACTGATGGGACTTACGATTACACAAATAGCCATTTGTTAGGGGAATGTATTACTACTTTAACTACAAATGTTTAATTAGAACAATAACTATACCAAATATGGCAATGATTCAACATTTTAAATACATAAAAGTTATTTGGATAGAATCACAAGATAAGACAACCAAATTTCCTCGAGCAAAGAGTATGTTTCATGAGTAACTTCTTCAATCTTCAGTATTTCAAAGCTATAACAGGAAAAGAAAAGAAATATGGTAGCACACTTAAGAAGGTAACAAAACAAAAATACTAATGTTAGTAATATCACTAAGGCCGCATTTACAGGAGGCCAGTGAGCAGGAAGTTTGCCGAGCAGGTTACCTGCCTCTAGTGTATTGAAAGTTACCTGTGGCAGGTAACCTGCCTGTAGTGTATTGCAAGTTACCTGTGGCAGGTAACCTGCCTCTAGTGTATTTCAAGTTACCTGTAGCAGGTAACCTGCCCGCCAAACACGGCTCTGAGTAAAATAACCAACCGCAACTTTAGTTCTGGGACTGAGATATTTCATACAATGAGCTTTTTAAAGACGTGTACGATTGAAGGTTAAAATAATTTCAGAGCCTAGACAGAGTTTAGAAATTAATCTTTATCTAATACTCTCTATTATCAAAGTCTTAGATTCAAACATTGACATTTTATGGATGAGTTCAACAAAAGAAACACTAACTCCAAAAATGTTAATTAATTTAAAACTCTGTGTAAACGTCCTGCTGATCTTTAATAACTCAAAACAAAGCTCATTAAAACCTCTAATGAAGCAAAAGCAGCTCCGGTCATTAGGGTGTTCCAGTCATTAACCACCAAGGTAAAAAAATGTTGCCATAACGATAAATTGATTACAACTGTTACAAAAGCTGTACTTTTGATTAAAAAGATTCAATCATGACAAGATGAGATATTAAGTTAGCTAATTTATTTTAGATTTTTTGGTACTTTACTAATATTATATTTATATGGAGATATCCGGAGAAAGAATAAAATAGTAATTGTATTAGAGGTGCTAGTCGGTGACTCTTCAAGGAAACGGCTGCGAGTGCCGAGGGGAGATGAGGACCAACCCAGGAAGCTGGTTGGCCGTGTGCCACTCTACAATATACAGACTGTAATAGTATATAAGCATTGATGGCATTGATATTCTTGTCAATTGCTTAATGGGTCTGATGATGATTGGAATGTAAAAAAAATCAACCACCATTCACCATCTTTTGTATGTATTTACCATTTTGTAAGTAAACAGTTTAAGTTCAAAAAACCTCAATTATTCTTAATTACAACTGTCGTTTATAAATAATTTTGATTTTGTGCCCTTAATCACATATGCTTGTTGCAAACAAGAACAAGAAGTCAACCTTGATAATAAGTCACTTTAAATAATCTCCATAAGGGTTAAGGTTCTACTGTACATGTTTGAAGTATTAGTAGATTAAGAGGTCCTTTTATTTACTTTTCACAACAATACATTTTAAAAGGAAACGGTGAAATTGACAAACACATGAACAGGTTGAAGTTAAATTATTTTAAAGAGGGTCGACACTCACCCCTGTTCATAGTAGACGCAGGCCAAGTTGCCGTGGACAACAGCATTGTTAGGGCTAAGGTTAAGAGCCCTCAAATATGCTGCTACCGCTCTGAAACAGGGAAAAAGTAATTACAAATCTGTCCAACATTACTACCAAAATGACCACAAGAATCAATCAGGGAATCAACCGGAGACCCAACTACGCAGAATCAATCACAACATTAGGCAAGAGCTGGTAAGTTAATCAAAAAATCAAACATTGATGACCACAAGAGTTGATCAGGGAACCAATCAGAGATACAACCACACAGAATCAATATCAGCCCACAGCCACACAAGATGAAAAGGGAATCAAACAAAACTAAAACGACAGAATCAATTTTGGAGGATGATTGCAAAACAGCAAACATAATAAAATTGCTCTCATGAATTTGTTGACTTAAAATAACTATGACTTCTTCTTAAGCACAGCTTTACAGAATCATAAATGATTTTTTGTTTAAAGTAAATTGTTGGTGAGCGAGTTTGGTGTTATTTATGTTATTTAGCAGAACAATACAGAATTTCCCATCACAATCTGTAAAAAATACTTTGTAATAACACCAAACCATGCTTATATATTTAAAATATGTTAGAAGTATTTGTACACCATAACTTATTTTTCCATTTTACTATACAGTATATACCTACTTCATTTCCCAATTACTTGGGATTGGATACCAAGTTATACATAAGTTACACAAATGTATGGTAAAAAATATATAATTTTTCCATTACTTGAATTTATAAACACAATACAGTTGAATAAAAAATAAAACTTCAACAAGAATTAGTAGAAAACAGAAGTGTTTCTGCAACACGATTCACCCTCTTAATGTTCAACAAAGAAGGTAAGGATGTCAAATTGACAGGCGCAAGTGTGTTTGGAGGCTTAGTTCCCTTCTTGTTATCATAGAGGGTGGAATAATGCAAAGACAACCATATTACTCCATACGATTCGATATAAGAGTGAAACATAATTTTTTAGGTTGATAGATTTTTAAGAGATTCTTTAAGAGCGTCTTTCAAATCACATGGACTGTCACAGTAATAAAAACAAGGAGAGAAAATAGTTTTAGAATGTAGCACCTTCTGTGAGAAGCTCATTCAAATAAAACTATGTTCTTTGGAAAAATTTTACTACACCTGGTTCATATAGATGTGATGTGTACTTTAGATGGCGAAAGTCAATTATTTAAGTTGACTGTAAAAGTTTCCTACTACTATATTGATGTTGGTTTTAATATTCGACTTTTATTTACCCTAAACATAGTTGTTTTGGGTCGTTTGGAATACGTTATTATATTACTGATTGTAACTTACGCTTATTTATTACTTGCGTTTAAAAAATCAAAGCCTATATTTATACAATTTCATGATGCACGTTTCAAATTTTTTTTTCACCTAGTAGGCCTATATTTTTTATATACTATCATAAGTCTACATTTTAAAGTATTTAATTCAAAACAAGTTCATTCAAATATATTAAAGATTCTGTCATTAAAATAAAAACGTATGTTTTTCATTTCATTCAGTTTTCAATTCACCTTGTATGTCGTTAACATCGACAAACAATATCACGTGTCAAAAGTACATTGACAACCAATAGCGATACCAAAACAGTGTTCGTCGCAGCGACAATATCGCTTATCAACTCCATTAGTACCACTTTGCTCGTATATGGACCGACATTGAGTCACACTTGCTTAACGACAACCGCTTTTCAACTGAAATCAATATTACTGATTCAATATTAAAACATCCATTCTCGTCCCGTATGATCCCCAGTGAAGTGTAACGTTCCGTCTGAATCATTCATTTCAAATCTTGCTTTAGCTCTTAGTAGGAACCAATTCAAATTGGTTTATTAAAATTTCCTTTATGCAGTTTAACTCTATTAATTTAACCATTCTGTCTCTAAAAAACAATTTAATTAATATTTTAAAATGTCTTAAACTATATGGAAATCTATGGTGGAGTTGATTTTACTAAACCATAATAGTATAATTTTAATACTTGCCAATCAAACAGAATGCAGTATCATAAAAAACAACCTTATCTTATCATTTTACATAACTTTAAAGAATTATCTATCAAGAAATCCTACATCATATTAAGGAAAACACACTTTTAGATTCGAGTAATTTGGATTTATATCAAACCTATTAAAAATCAAAAAACTATTTCAGGTAGGCCCTATAGAATTAGTTATTACAATTAAACTAGCCACATAGAATTTTAATATATTAAAAAAAATATATCATTGCAGCAAAAAAAAAAATTCAAAATTTGAATATATTTATTTATGAAATTACAACAGCCTGACCACACAAAATTTACAAAAACTTGTGGGCGAGGCCCAATTAATAACAGAAAATAACAAAATAATTTTACAGATTTTTCTTTTTCCCCCCTTTTCTACTTAGCTGTTTTGTTTTACCAATTAAAACAATATTAAAACATCCAATTCAACTTAAAAATCAAATATAATATTAAAAACCCATCGTTTTATAAGACCATAATTAACTGGGTTAAGATCTAATATATCATAACCCAAGGCGAGCAGCGTGGGTGTGAGTATTATTCAGGAGTCAGCTCGTAATGAATACACACTCGGGTGGGTTCAGGCCTTAAACAAGCCGCTGAATACGTACAAGCATTGTTTATCGTTCCTCCCTAACCCTGCTATTGTGCTTCAACTCAGAACCGCAACCTTTGCATGAGGATCGAGCAATAACTACTGTAGTGTTGAGATGTAAAACACTGTCACACTTAAGATTAAAAAAAACATATCACACGATAAATTTTCTGATTCATAATTTCTTACAGGGTTATTATTACGTTTTCATATTGGGACACAATGTGGCTTAGAGTGTTGATAAATAAGGCAAGAATTAGATTTTAACCTTAATGTTCAAGTTTTCGATGAGAGATAATACTGTACAAAAATTTAGGCTAGTAAAAGGTCCTATCAATTAACTTTGAAATCGGTCTTACAAAATAGGTATGAAAATAAACGCCAATGGCATGTACACAGTGTGGTAGGCTAAAAAAGCTAACCTGTATAGTTTTCACATCTTCGATATAATAGCTGGAACTCCCTTAACTCTACTGTAAGAATGGATATCCTGGCCTGGCAAAAGGGGTTATTATGGCCAATAAGCATACCAAATAATTTGAACATTGAACTATCCAAATTTAATAACATACAAAAAAAATGCTCACATATGAAACAAAAATTGGAATTCGTAAATAATTAGTTGGTTATGTAAGCCTGCAATTTTTTTAACACGTCAGTCAATCATCTGTATTGCAATATCAAGGAGGTGATCATATTTTGTAGTTAACCAATAAAATAATAATAATAACCTGAACAGTGGACAGATTGTAATTAGTCAGGGACTTATTAAATAATATCGTTTAACTTAAGGATAAAGGCTAGATAACAACAAAACTACAATTTCATTGAGAAAATGAATAATTTATTGAAAAAAAAAACATAAACTTCCTTACTTATGTTACTTTAGATAATAATTGTGCCTACTTTTAAAGTTTGCCTATAAGTGAACTATTTTGTAATAAATACAAGGAACCCCTAAAAAGGTCAATAAATCACAAAGAACCCATACAAGTGTTGCAAATACAGTAGTAAGAGACTAGGATATTGGATCAGGCAAGATTACTGGAGCAGAGTAAACAAAACCTGTATACGATCTCAATTCTTTTACTCTAAAACATTCTTTACAATTCTCCTAATGTACAGCTATTCCAAAATATTATTCCATTTCAGGTATTGAAATAAATTTGGCAGTTTGGATTGTGTTGGTTAGTATAGCGTGTGGAAGGAATGAGGGAAAAGCTCCCAACATCCCTAAAGCCTGTGTCACACTACGCTACTTTACTAGCAGCTAGCGAAATAGCAGCTACTAAGTAGCCAATGTGACATAGGCAGTAGCAGCTACTAAGAGTAGCGCGCTAGTGAAATTTTACTAGCATGGAAAGTTGAACATGTCCAACTTTCCGTGCTACTAAACTGCGCTAATGAGTCACGTGACCAACTAGCAGCTATCAAGTAGCGACTGTCGCCCAGTGTGACAGCTTCAATAGCAGACAAGCGGCTACTTGCACCACGTGCTGTCAGCCTGATTCGTTTATTCTCGTTCATTTTGAATAATTTCTGAAGTAATCATGAGTGATCCGAAGTGGGGTGGGGGAGATGTGATTAATTTTTTGAACTTGTATAAAAAATATCCGTGTCTTTGGGACATAACCTCTCTTGAGCTAAACTAGTAGTAGCAGCTAGTGAATAGACGCTACCAAAATAAGTGTGACAGGAAAAGTAGCTGCTATTTCAGTAGCTGCTACTAGGTAGCTGCTAGTAAGTAGCCAAGTGTGACACAGGCTTAAGAGAGCGAAAGTCATGCCACTAGATGCTAGTGAAATTAAACTAATCCAAAAACAATTAATTGTTGACATGACTGTACAGATTATAAGAGTGACAGGAAACGGATCCGGCTCACCATTCTAATTTACACAATCTATAAAAATTGTACTATTACATCTGTGGTGAGTTGTGCATAGCCAATAGTAAAAGGCTATTGGGAAAACTTATTTTCTAGGAGAAAGTGTGAGATGATTTCTTTAAGGGGATAAAAATAAAAATATGCCTTCCTACACTGTTTGATATATTACTGTGCAATACAAGTGAAAAGTGTTACAATGTTATTTTCTTTTATTCCTATAACAGCACTGACACTTACAATGCCAATCAGAAAATTATTTTTTAGCACAATACAGTAGAACCTCGGTTAACCGAGGTAATTGGGACCGAGGGTACCTCGGATACGGCGAACCTCGGATAACACGGAACGTAACCTAAAAATCGTTACCGGGGCTAAAAATAGCTCAAGATATACTAAAACATGAACAAAAGTTATTAACTGAACTGTTGTTTAGTTTATTAGTACAAGAAATGTTATTAGTACGCAATAAAACGTGAGAGGAAACGGTAACACTCACAATAATAAACACTGTTTTAATATAACACTCAATTTATTGCACAACTGAATA